CAAACCATTCTGAACACCTACAAACTCAACAGGAGATCGAAGAAAAGAATAGCAACAACTCTCTGAACAGAAAAGCGACCACTTTCTGGAAGGTGAGGAGCTCAGAGAGGTGAAGCAGTGGTCACACCTGCTTCTTACATTGGACATGATCCTGGCACTTTGGTCCCAGATAGCATTACCATGAAGTTCCATTAAACCCAAAATAATAAAATCCTGAACTGAAAAAAAAAAAAGTTTGTACCTAGTTGGAGGGACTTGTACCTAGTTGGAAGGACTTGTACAGCTTGTACCTAGTTGGAAGGACTTTACCTGTTAGAGCTTACACTCCCTGTGTTTGACTCTCAACCCCACCTCTCTCCCTGGATCTCCTGTTCCCCGTCTAATGCCGTTATAGTCTTGGGATTTGTCACTTTGGTGGAGTTCTCTAAAACCTATCAGTTCTAGTAGGGCTGGGTTTAAGGACCTTTTGTAAAAGAAAGGACAGACCCTGAATGGAAATAGAGATTCTGAACTTGTAGGCTTGTAGCTTTTGCCAAGTTCAGGCAAGTGAGGTCTGTGGCCGAGGTAAAACTCTTAGGCAGGTTAACCACCTCTCTAAGCTTTCATGTGGTCTTTTTTTTTTTTTTTTTTTAATGTGGTCATCTTTAACGTGAGAATAACAACATCTTTCTTTTGAGGCTATTGCAAAAAAAGAATGAAATAGCTGTTGTGGAGTGTTTCCTTCCACCATAGGAGCTCAGTGGTTGCTCATGGCTGCAGTTTCTGCTGTTGCTATTTTATTGCCGTTGCTGCAAAAGAGTGGCGTGGGTTCAGGGCCTGAGCTTTGAATCCTCTCTCTACCACTATCCATTTGTATGACCTTGGACAAATTATTTAACTTCTCTTTGCCTCAGTTTTTTTCACCTAAGTGAGAACATTATTAATGTGGGAGTTGTGAAGGTATAATGAATTAAATCATATAAGGAGCTTAGAGCAGAATTTGGTATGAAGTAAGTGATTGTAGTAAGGCTGTTATTTAACTGAAGTACCCTCTTTGCCTCTGGTTTTGGCTTTGGATATGTATAGCGACCTAAAACCTGTCATTTTAACCTTTATTTGCCAAAACACCTAGGAGTCTATGTTCTTAATTCTCCAGTGATGTCACTTTTCTGGTTTTGTTGTCATGCCAGCTTTAGAAGCCTGTTGTGACTGCTTCAGAGCAGATACCCAGTTGGTCCTTCTACTGGGTGCTGACACACCTACAGGTCAGACTTGAAAAGACATAGGAGCCAGTAAAGAAAGATCTCTAAAGAAGAATATATTTAATATATGTGTGTAAAGAAATTCTTTTATTTTATTTTGTTATTTTTTAAAGATGGTATTTATTTAACAGAGAGCGAGAGAGGGAACACAAACAGGGGGAGTGGGAGAGGGGAGAAGCAGGCTCCCCACCGAGCAGGGGGCCCGACGCGGGGCTCAATCCCAGGACCCTAGGATCATGACCTATGAGCTGAAGGCAGACGCTTAACCGACTGAGCCACCCAGGAACCCCAAAGAAATTACTTTAAAATTATCTTGGGCATCCAGAACTTGCACTTTCTTTTTTTTTTTTTTT